CCCCCCAAGAGGCCCCGAGAAGGCCCCAAGAGGCGCCCAAGAGGCCCAAAGAAGTCCCCAAAGAGGCGCCCAAGAGGCGTCTAAGAGGCCCCCAAGAGGCCCCCCAAAGGCCCCAAACAGCCCCCGAGAGGCTTCAAACCTGGCTCCCAGAGGCCCCCGAGAGGCCTCCCACAACATCCAATAGTCTTCATACCCACAATCGGGGCACGGTGGCGGGATGGGCCGACGGCCACTCGGAGTGTGTGCGTATATATATATTATATATATATATATATATATATATATATATATATATATATATATATAAAAAGACTGTATTGGCGCTGCGCGCCATGCACCTTGGTCCTATAGAGTTTCGCACGTCAGTGGAGTGTGTGCGAGCGTACATGCGCACACACATGCGCCTATGGAAACATACGACATAGGTACATATAAAGATACATATGTTTGGGCATGTGCATGTATATGCAAATGGTCTATGTATCTATGTGTGCGCATACACATGCGCATCTCAGAAAGAGCGTGTTCTACCGCTGCTGGCGGAAAACCGGGGGGGGTCACTACCGGTTCGAACCCCTCCCCCCCCCCCCCCCTCCGGAAAACCGGCGCGGGGCCACTACCGGTACACCCTCCCCCCCCCCCCCCCAGCTCATCATGAAAAGGGGGGGGGGTCACTACCGGTTCGAACCCCCCCCCCCCTCTCGAAAACCGAGTGGGGGTGCGGACAGAGGTGGGGGCGGTGTTGGTGGGACAGTGGTGAGGGGACAGCGGGACAGTGGTGGGGACAGTGGGACAGTGGGACAGTAGAGGGCCGGTAGTGGTGGGGACAGTGGTGAGGACAATGGTGGGAACAGGGGGGACAGTGGACAGTGGTGGGGACGGTGGTGGTGGGGACAGTGGTGTGGGCACAGTGGGAATGAGGTGGAAACAATGGGACAGTGGAGGGTACAATGGTGGTGGGGACAGTGGTGAAGGCGGTGGCGAGGACGGCGGTGGGACAATGGGACAGAGGTACAGTGGGGACAGTGGTGGGGACAGTGGGGACACAGTGGGACAGCTCAGTGGGACAGCGGCGGAGTCAGTGGGACAGTGGGGACAGTGGGGATAGTCGGGCAGTGGTTGGGGCCGTGGAGACAGTGGGGAGAGTGGAACCGTGGTGGGAACAGTGGTGGGGACAGTGGGGACAGTGCGACAATGGCGGGGGCACTGGTGGGGACACAGTGGGGACAGTGGTGGTGAGGACAGTGGTGCTGGGAACAACAGTGGAGGATGTGATGCGGACGGTGGTAGGGACCGGGAGTCGTTTGCTGGCGGTGAGTGGGGGGGTAGGGAGGGGTTCGAACCGGTAGTGATCCCCCTCCGGTTTTCGAGGGGGGTGGGGGGGTTCGAACCGGTAGTGACCCCCCCCGGTTTTCCGGATCCGGAGGGGGGTGGGGGGGTTCGAACCGGTAGTGACCCCCCCCGGCTTTCGAGGGGGAGGGGGGGGGGGGGGGGGGGGGGGGGGGGGGTTAGGGGAGGGGGGGGGTTTTGCCGGGGGAAGGGGTGGGGGGGGGGGAGGGGTTCCAGCAGGGGTGGGGGGGGGGGGATTTTCGGAGGGGGGGGGGGGGCGACCCCCGGGTTCCGGAGGAAAAGGTTGGCAATTTTCCACAGTAAAGCGGCGGTGGATCACGCTCTCTCGCATCTCAGGCAGTAGTGGCCTGACCAGCTGCTCTGGGCATCTCGCAACTCAAAGGTGCGAGGGTGTAGCGTTTTGGGGCCTCTTGGGAGTCTTCTTGGGGCCCTTTTGGATCCGTTATGATCCGTTATAGGGCCCTGTTGGGGTTCTCTTGGGTCGTTTCGGGGCCCTTTTGGGCCGTCTTGGGGCGTCTTGGAGGCCTTTGCCCGACGTGGGGCTCTCCTGGCGGCGTTTTGGGGCCCTCTTGGGTGCCTGTTTGGGCGCTCTTGGGGCTCTCTTGGGCCCGTCTTGGAGCCCTCTTGGGGTTCTCTTGGATCGTTTTCGGGCTCTTTGGGGGGCCTCTTTGGCCATCTTAAGGCGATCGTTGGAACCTCTTGGACCGGCTCGGGCTGATGTTGGCCCGAAACCTCTGAAAACCATACAAAAATCAATGACATGTCCCTCTTGGGGCCGTCTTGGGAAGCCTCTTGGAGGCTCTTGGGGTTCTCTTGGATCGTTTTCGGGCTCTTTGGGGGGCCTCTTTGGCCATCTTAAGGCGATCGTTGGAACCTCTTGGACCGGCTCGGGCTGATGTTGGCCCGAAACCTCTGAAAACCATACAAAAATCAATGACATGTCCCTCTTGGGGCCGTCTTGGGAAGCCTCTTGGAGGCCTCTTGGGGCGTCTCGGGGCCCCCATTGGACGGTCTTGGGCGGTCTTGGGGTCTCTTGGAGCGCTCTTGGGCTGTCTTGGAGCGCTCGTGGACCCCTCTTGGGAGTATCTCGGGCCGTCTGGGGCGCCTCTGGGACCAGGCCGAAAATCTCGGGGAAGCCCGAAACTCGTTTTTTTTGGGGGGGCTCCTTCCAGGGTCTGTCCGGGGTCCCCGGCCCTATAAAGTATATAAATAGGGATATGTGTACATATTCCCTTTTCTATATTTTTATAATCCTGGGGGGTGGGACACCCCCCCCCGAAATAGGATCCTCCCCAACCGGGACTTCCGGAAACGGGACCCCTCACGAGGATCGCAGCCTCCGAGCGCGAAAATTAGCGCTCTCCGTCCCAAGAGGAAGGTGAGAGGACACGCGAGGCTCCTTGGACCTCCCGAGAGGCTTTCTCGAGGCTCCTACGAAGGCCCAAGAGGGTCCCAAGAGCCTTCCAGAGTCCTCCGAAGAAGCCCCCGAGAGATGAACATCAGTGATTTCCTATTGTTTTTCTAAGATTTTTGCTTCTTTGCATGTTCACTGTTCCGACGTGCCAAGACGGCCGAAGACGCCCACAAGACCGATGCCAGACGGCTCAAGAGGCCTCCAAGCGAGTCCGAAACCGTCCCAAGACAGCCCCGACACGGCCCAAGGGGTGCCCAAGACGGCCCCAGAGAGCCCCAAGACGGCCTTCAGAAACGGCACCCCTCACGAGGATCGCAGCCTTCCAGCGCGAAACTGAGCGATCTTCGTCCGAAGAGGCACCTACGAGGGTACGCGAGGGTCCTCGGGTTGCCTTAAAAGCTTCTTAAAGGTTCCCCCGACAGCTTGAGAAGGCCCCACGAACCTCGCAGAGTTCTCTGAAGAAGGCCCCAAGAGATCAAAATCATTAATTTCCTATGGCTTTCCTAAGATTTTGGCTTCGTTGCATGTTCACTGCTCCGACGTGCCAAGACGGCCGAAGACGCCCACAAGACCAATCCCAGAGGGCCCAAGCAGCCTCCAAGCGAGTCCACAGCCGGCCCAACAGAGCCACCAGACGGCCCAAGCCGTGCCCAAGACGGCCCCAGAGAGCCCCAAGACAAGCTTCAGAGAGAGCTTAAAAGGGGAAAAACATACAATTGCAACGCGCTCGGCTCCCACACGGCCACGCGAGGCCCCAAGCCCCTTCCAGGAGGCCACAAGAAGGGCCACAAGGCGCGCAAAAGGCTTATGATTTCAAGGACTCTGCACCCAGACGCCCACACGAAGCTCCAAGACTCCTCAACGGCTCCCCTGACGTGCCACGAGGCGCCCAAGAGCCGCCAAGAAGCATTCACGAAGTTCCCCCACGACGCCCCACAAGGCCTCTAAGAACCTCCACGAGTTCTCCGAAGAAGGCCTTTATAATCCTGGGGGGTGGGAACCCCCCCCCCCCGAAATAGGATCCTCCCCAACCGGGACTTCCGGAAACGGGACCCCTCACGAGGATCGCAGCCTCCGAGCGCGAAAATTAGCGCTCTCCGTCCAAGAGGAAGGTGAGAACGAAGCCCATACATAACGTTCGTAGAGCCTGCCTGTCCCAAAGTCGCGTCAGCACGCCTCCCCGCGCCCCCCCTGCCTCATATCTTGCAGTATAAAGCTGCATTCTGGTCAGAATCCTGGGTTCGCACCCTTTTTTTAAGAAATTTGGTTGCGAACCCGGGATTCGATAAGTTTCCCTCTGAAGTCCTTTTCTTGCATTCCATTTGCCCCTTTCGTTGCTTCGAACACCAAGTTCTCCCACTCCCCCTCCGCAACCTCTGCACATTCGCAATGCAAGCCCGCGAGGACCCCTCGAAGGGACCGCAGGATACCGCGAGAAGCCAGCCGATCCAAAGCTTCAAGGAACAAGATGCATGGCGCGAAGCGCCTATGCAGCCTTGTATATATATATATATATACACATTACATTTATACATTTAGATCGATGGTGCAAGCTGTGTGATGCAGGCTTTGTGGTGCAGACTAGGGGGTGCTTCAACATATGGGACGCAGTCGACGTGCGCATCCGGAAGCGCCAGCGAACGCACGGGGCGCCCACGAGGGGCACGCGGGAGCCCACCGAGCGAAGACGCAGAACACTCCGCCAGCGCACGGGGCGCCTGCGCGGCGGCGACCACTGGGCGAACACTCGGAGCACCCAGCCAGCGCACGGGGGCGCCTACGGGAGCCCACGGGGCGAAAACCTGCTGCTGCCGCCAGTTCTGTGCATACGCTATCTCTGAAAGAACAGGGAGGAGGGAGGAGGAGGAGGAGGAGGGGGAGGAGGTAAGGCGGAGAGGAGAGGAGAGGAGGAGGAGGAGGAGAGGAGGAGAGGAGTGAGGGGGAGCAGGAGGAGCAGCAGGAGATTAAACAGGAACAGGAGGAGGAGCAGGAGGAGGAGGAGGAGGAGGAGGAAGGAAGAGCAGGAGGAGCAGGAGGAGCAGGAGGAGCAGGAGCAGGAGGAGCAGGAGGAGCAGGAGGAGGAGGAGGAGGAAGAGGAGGAGGAGGGGAAGGAGGAAGAGGAGGAGGAGGAGGAGGAGGAGGAGGAGGAGGTATTACAGAAACATTGGCGACACCAGGAGATGCTGGCCACTTCGCCCTTCACCCTCGCCCTTCGCTTTTCATCTTCGGAGAGGCCGGCCTGCTGGCGGTGTCGTAGCGGTGCCTCGGGTCAGCCATCTGGCGCTGGAGCTCTTCGAGGTCGAGCTGCGACAGGGGGGACGACCTGCTCGAGTTCGTCCTCCCGGTCACCTGTGCTCCAAAGTGGGGGGAGAACGCGATGCATGAGGCCCGCATGGAGGTTCAGCCTCATCGGAGGGTGGGGAGGGGGAGGAGGGAACGAGGGAGGGGGAGGGGGAGGGGCAGGAGAACGGGGGGCGGGGGACGGGGGAGGAGGAACGGGGGAGGAGGGATGGGAGGGGAGGGGACAGGATGACAAGCAAGAGCAGCTGGAGGAAGAGCGGGAGGGAGGAGCGAAGCCTAGAGAATGGCACAGTGAGCCGGCGCCCACATGATCGATCCGTACATGGCGAGAACAGACATCCTGGAGGGTTGTCCAACCATCAACGCTCCATGCTGCATGCCAGAGCCCAAACAGCAATGGAGGGTGATGATGAGGAAGAGTGGGAGGAGGACGACGAGGAGGAGGACGAGAGATGAATTGCACCTAACAATAGGGACGAGGAAGGAGGGCACGATCAGGAACTTTTGCTCAGCTTGTCGGCGCTTCGGCCCTGGCGATGCGCTGTGCCCTGCAAGCGCATGGCGAGTCGCTTCGCTCCGCGGTGGCGGGAGGCTGGAAACAACGCTGGAGGCTTGGAGGCTCGGGAAATAGGGACGTGTCTAATGCGTCGCGCCGAAGGCGTGGTGGGGCAGAACCGACGGAGCGACGCGCTGACCAACAGTGGAGGAGGAGGAGGAGGAGGAGGAGGAGGAGGAGGAGGAGGATTTTTTTTGACATCAACATCAAGGATGAGTGCCCGCCCAGACAATTAGGGCAGGCAGGCTGGCCAGTGCCAGCGAAAGAGAGCTAACACCTGAAGACAGAGGAAAGGCAGGAGGCCACATAGACATCTCCAGCTGGCTGGAGGATTCCCCGTGGCCAGCTGCTTCTCCCCCAGGCGTTAGTCAGAACTAGAGTCGCCCTCGTCACGATGCGGCAGCTTCGAAACGAGAGAGGCCTCGTCTTCTTCCTCCCGGGGAGTGGACGAGACACCTTGCGACACGAGGCCTGTGGCCTGAGACTGAGACGGCGAGTCCCTCGGCGGACCGCTCGCCGCTGCCAGTAGACGCCGTGCGATCGCAGCACGGCGTCTCTCTCGTGCTTCCTCCTCCTCCGAGGCCGAGGTGGGGGGAGGCTCAGACGAAGGGGCGGGGACCTCCTCCTCCTCCACGTCTGGGACAAAACCAAAAGAGTGTCTGCCCCAGGGGCCGCGTTCCACCGTGACCTCTGGGCGCTTAGGGTGGCGTCCTCTGCGGATCAGCCCCCAGTTGTTATAAAAAAGTTGACCTAGTCGGTCCAAGGCACCTGCCTCCCAGTCCTGCAACTCTGCCATGAGACGAGTAGCAGAAACACTTCGTGCAGACTACCAGCGATGCCTGGTCAGAGCAAAACAACGTGATGCAAGAGTGGCCCCTTTTTTTTCCAGCGCACCAGACTCGAGACCCGCGATCGGCTTACAACGAGGAGCGCTCGGGGACGGGCCGTAGGTGGATGCTCGACTAACTCTGCCACAAGTCGTGCATTTCCAGAAGCCTGGGGATGCCGCCAACTGCGCAACCGGAATAATCGTCCACTGGCATCTAGCAGACGTCGAATTCACAGAAAAAGAGACCGTCGGCTTAGTCCAGGAAGCTTCGCTGAGGTCGAGGCGTGGCCAACTAGGAAGCACTTTCGCGGCTAGCTGACACACAGCACGGGACATTTTGATGTCGGGATCCAGTCTAGCAGTGTCCTCCGCAGACGGCTGCGGGTGACCAAGGTAGCCTTCACCGCCAGACGCCTTTTTGGCTCCGACATCTGCAAAATGGTTCCCAAAACGGCACACCTTATCGAATTCAGAGGTCAATTCATCGAGTGATTGATGCGCCTTGACTTTGTGGAGAGCCTTTACCTTCCACATTTCGTGCAACAGAGACAAAGCGAAACCACTATAGCAGCGTTTCGGCGACAGCTGGTCCAAGGGTTGCAGAGAAAAGTGATCCTTGACCAGCTGCGCATCAGTATGAAACTCCGACGGAGCACTGGCGAAAAAGACGGCTTGGCAGAAGGCGGCAAATTCACCTGCAGGAGCTGTCTGCGTGTATGTCGGCGGAACAGGACCATGCACCATGGCGCGCAAGTCGCCAGACTGGTCAACAACGGCGAAGCACCATCCAGCACGCGGAAGCTCGCGCACCACATGCCTTAGGGCGCCCCCGTCAGTGAAGACACGCCCGCTGAAATCGAAACTCTGGGGGTCCTGGGGGAGCCCTTCAGGAGCAAAGAAGGTGGCGGAGGGCTCCGCCGAGGGCTTGGGAAAATAATCCCCAGGATGCGCAAAGGCCCCGAAACAAGACAGCACGCAACCAGGCTCCCGCAAGGCTCTCTGGATGACTTCTGGCTCCACAAGGCTCTCCCGGAGCTCCTGGGCGTCTGGGCACCTGCAGACCCAGAGGCGGTGGTGGAGGGTGTCAGGGGCGGTTCCACACTTGTCGCGCGTCACGCTGACATCGTACCCGAGGTCCCTGGCTTTTTGACGAGTCCACGCAGCATTGGTGGCAACAGCCCTGATGCAGCCCTTCTCGAAGGCCGAGAACCGTTTGCTACGTAGAGAATGTTTGACCACGCCGAAGCAGAGACGATGAGGAACATCCCACTTAGCCCCAGCGTCCCACTCCAATCCACGAAACACAGCAGCCCGAAGGTGGAGGCGCATCAGCTGGGGAGAGATGAGGGTCAGGGAGAGGATCACCCCTTGGTCCGTTACAAAGGTGGCGAAGTCCCTCATCGTCCAGGAGATCCTCTCCAAGGACTTGCGCATGGCGGCGACGGGGCCTCTGACTGCACGCCGCGAACATGATTCATTTAGAAAAACACCTTCCCAAGCCCGCCTCAGCTCCCTGAAACTGAGCGAGCCTTCAAAGGCCTGTACTTGGGTGCACCAAACCTCCTTGTGCCAACGTAATATCGGGGCAACAGAACCGATCCAAGCGGGGTCCCCTTCCAAATGAGACAAGACCGCCAGGGGGCGTTGGCCAGCTGAGGGTTTGATGGTGCTCGCCGCCGAGCGGCGCAGGTGGAGGAGCTCGTGGTCCGTGACCCCGCGCACCTCGCTGCCGTAGAGCGCACCTGGGAGAGGTCCCGCCGTGAAGACCCTCAGGGTGCGTCGAGGTCCTAGGGCAGAGCGAAGTTTGGCAACACGGCGGGTACGCTTCTTAAAGAGCCGAAGTCTAGACTTGAGTTTCACTCCCCTCCCCTTAGTCCTCAAGCTCTTCCCCCCCGTGTCATCAATGCCCAAATTGACGGAACTGTCCACGATGGGACCCGTGAACTCCGCTCCGAGAGCAGCCTGAATGGCGCGGCCCACGGCCGCCGAAGAACAGACAAGGCTAGATTTGTCCTGCGCCACCTTCCCCCCTATACCATCGACAATGGCCTCGCGAAGCTGCGGGGCCCCCTCAACAATAGAAAGAACCACGTCTTTGAAGGCACCTACAGCAGACAACCCCGAGTCGTCAATGTACAGGGCCAGGTCGCAACAGGGGCGGAGAACAATCCTATCCAGGGCTTCGATGCTATTCACCCTGATGAGGGTAGTGGCAAGGGAACACCCCGCCACAATCCCCGAGGAGACGAACCACGGACCATCCAGACACCCGCCGAGGGAAAGGAAACGAGGGGGCCGATAGGCCCTGATGGCCAGTCTGGCCATGGCGACGGGGAAGTCCAACCTTTCGCACCGCGCAAGCAAACGATCCAGATCGATCAACTCATAGTACTTATACATGTCCCAGAGGAGAGTGGCCGCATGTTCCTTCCTGGAGACGCTACTTTCGCTCTTGACACATTGGCGCCACACAACATCGGCGGCCCCTTGAAACTTACCAGCGGCAAAGTAGGGCCGAGCGTGCTCCCCTTCCCACTTTTCCGCCAAACCCCTTCTCGCTTTCCCCCGCAGGCGATGCGGGCTCATGAAAATGCCGATGGGCCTGAAACCTCCCGTCGGTTTGCCCAGCAGGGCCAAAACGGTGGCATCCAGCTGGGCAGGCAACGTACTCGAGATTTCCATAACCTGGAGGATCCTACACGAGGCCGAAATCCCGGGGACCGAAATCATACTGAAGTGTCTCATATGGAAACCATCGATCCCGACCGCCGAGCTCGCCTTGTACATACGAGACAAGACGCATGAGCTCATGGGGATCGAGAGGAGGGAGGTCGGGGGCAGGTTGGAGATCCTTAACCTGCCCAGTCGAGTGTAGAGAAGGAGTAGCTCCCCATAAAACAATGAACTTGCTCCTCTCCGCGGCGAGCAAGGAGAGCGGGTCGCTGACCACGCAACCGTGAGCTGACAGAGTCAACGTCGGCTTCCACGGCTGGGGCTCAGCAGTGACCGCGTGTGCACGCTTAGCTCCCTGGCCAATATTCTCCCGAAGCCAACTGCGCCAGGAAGCTAAGCTGCTGGTCCTAGCTGACGCCTCGGCTGTGGCAACCTCTCCTGAGACCTGCGCCGCCAGGAAACTGGCATGGTCGGCGCTGTCCTTGAAACTGCTAACAGTAAGACCTGAGACCAGGGACTGCAGAGTGTCAAGGTAGTGACGGTTGTCCCCCTAAGTGGTCCAAAACACACTGGGGGGAGAACAGACAATACGTTTGAGGGCAATCAAGTTGGGAGGGGAATGATCGTCAGAACAAGTCCCCTGAGAGCCAATGAAAACCCTGCAGTCCAGGACCCGATCGTAAACCCAACGCACAGCGTAGAGAGCAGGGTGGCGAGGTTCGTCCTGGTCTCGGCCAAAGACGGGCTGCCACGCAAGCTGAGGAGCCTTGCCCCTAGCACCCCCGAACGGCAGAGAGACCTGCGTGGCCTCGGCCACTTCACATTCGGCCATGTTGGCCCAGAGCTTGTAAGCTACGTCCAGCCTGCGTTGAGTTTCAGCCCCTTTTCCCGAACGAGCGACCTCCACCGTGTCCTCCAAAAAGCCGAGAACCGAATCCCAGGAAGGGGGTTCACGGGTGGGCACAATAGCTTGCTTTTTGGGATGAGGAGGGGGCTTGCGAAATTCCAAAACTTGCATCTGGGCAGGGTTAGGACACAACTCCAAATCCATAGGGCTGTGTGGGGACAGGGGGATTTGTTATTGACAGTCACCTGTTTGACGACCTTGCTGATGCCCGACGAGACGACGAAGTAATCAAAAACTTTGAGACCTCCCTGGGCCCGAAGGGTGTAGCAGCCGTCGGTGGGGGTGATGAGCTGGCCCTTAAACTCTTGCGCAAACTTGCTACGGCAAATGTCCCCAGGGGTCATGTTGAAGCCCCCGCCTACAATGACGGGAAGGTCCGCGTGGGAAATGCTGGCGCCCACCTGCGAGAGCAGCTCGATATTGCGCTCGGAGAGACCCTCGACGTCGTACAGGTAGACAGACGCCGCTAGAATGCGAAGCCCACCTGGAACGACCACGACTGCTGCGCCTGCACGGTGCGGGGCGACGATGAAACCCGAGGAGAGAGTGTGCATGCCCAGGTAGGAGCGGACGAGTACAGCGATGCCACCCGACGTGCCCCCACCAGGCCCAGGTGCTGCAGGAGCCCAGCAGGATTTCCATCCTCGCCGAAAGAGCCACTGAGAGGCCGAAGCAATGTCTTCATCCTCGATGAGGCGATGCTCCTGAACCAAAAGCACGTGCGCAGTGACTCTGCTCAGCCACTTGTGCTTCAAAGAGAGCCAGCCTGTAATATTGCAAGTCTGGACTACAAGAGAGAAATCCTGCACTGGCGGAGCAGGCGGGGGGTGCACGCCTGCACCCTCAGAACTGAAGAACATACCCTGGCTTACAAGGGGGGACTTCCCCGTCGAGCGATGCAGCGAGGGCGCCGCACCCTGCTGCTGGTCAGGAAGGAGGCCCCTGGCGGGCAGCGGCGCCGTCGGCAGGAGCTGGAGCCAGAGGAATGCCAGGAGCACGAGCTCCGCCACTCGCTGCAGGCGGCGCCCCAGCTCCTGGAGCGGCTGCCGCTGCCCCCCCCCTCCCCCGACTTGATACGCTTGGTCGCGGATTGGAGGTAGTCCGCGACCCTCTTCCTGGCTTCCTCGGAAATCCCCTCTCCGCGAATGAAAGCCTGGAAAGCTGACTCGTCCTCAGGTGGGACCTGTGGCATCTCAACGTCTGCAGACTCCGACCCCCCGCCCACCCCACCCCCGCCAAAATTAGCAGTAGCAGGCTCAGCGGGAACAGGCGCGGCAAAGGTCTCACAGGCTGGCTTGAGCTTGGCCCAGGCCTCACGAATGGATCCCAGGTCGCCTCCCTCGAGCACGTCGTTGAAGGTCGCCATCTGGTCGGACAGGTCCTTGGCAGGATCATCAGCTGCGAGAAGACGGACTTTGGCTGCAAGATCCTTATACCGAGCACAGATCTGAACCTGCTGCACCTCCGCCTCTGCCTTCTGCTCCTGCAGCCTGGCAAGCTTGTCCTGGCACTCGGAAATCTGCTTATCCAACGACGCCACGAACTTCTCATTTGTGGTAAGTGAGTCCTGCACATCGCGATGCTGCTGCAGAAGAGGTAGCGAGTCCTTGACCGACTCGGCTGAGGACTTGACACACGTAGCCGTCTTCTGAATACTTGCAGCAAGCGCATCGCGCTCTGGGAATTCTTCCTTGAACTGTTCCATGAGAAGAGCCATCTGGGCAAGCATGGCTGTGGGAGTGCGGGGTGGTGCGAGAGCTCCTCCTTTGCCTCCATCGCTCCCACCCTTACCTCCACCCTTCTTGCCCTTGAACCCCTTCTTGTCCCCTCCGTCGGTCTTGGGCGGACCGAACTGCCACTGACCAGAAGGCTGACGAGCAACATTAGGGTCAACAGGAGCCACATGCCGAATGGGAGACCAAAAGTTCGCACACCATTTGTACCACGGCTTGTTGCACTTGATCGCGCCACACGCCGAACACTTAGCCCCTCCATCGCCTGGGGCCATATGACAATAAGAACGTGAAAGAGGAGAGACCCTGGCGGTGGGGCGCTACCGCCAGGGAGAAGATTTGTCGGACTGAACAGTCCTAGCTCTGCCGCGGACTAGCGGTATCCGTGAAAGCCTATGCGGGCTCAGCCCGCCAAAGCAAAAAGCTTGAGCCAAAATGGCTACGGACAGGAGGAGGAGGAAGAGGAGGAGGAGGAGGAGGAGGAGGAAGAGGAGGCGGAGGAGGAGGAGGCGGAGGAGGGGGAGGAGGACCGTGGTCTGCGAATTTCGAAGCAAGTGCTAGGAGGGCGGCACCGCCGCCGGCAGCCCCACATCGACCGCCGTCGCGGACAGCAACCGAGCGCCGAATGCGCTTCAACACGCGGCGCGGTGCAACGACGATGCGAGGTACGTGGATCCCTGGGGGGCGGAGCGGGCACGATGGTTACCGAACGCAGGGCACCCGAACACAAGAGAAAGGAGGGAGGAGGGAACAAGGGGGGAGGGAGAGCGGGAAGATGGAGGATCGGATTTGATTGACTCGGCATTGCGCTTGCACCTCTCATGCGAGTGTTCATCCTTCTACCCATCCTCCTCCTCCTCCTCCTCCTCCTCCTCCTCCTCCTGCTCCTGCTCCTGCTCCTGCTTCTCCTCCTCCTCCTCCTCCTCCTCCTCCTCCTTCTCGTCCTCCATCTCCTCCTACTCCCGCGCACTTACTCAGTACTGGAGTAAAATCATAAGTAATACAAACAGTGGAGAAACCGCACGCCTCTAGTCTTATCATTTCATCCTCATCCTGCTCCTCCTCCCCCTCCAGTCCCACTCATCCCCCTCCTGCTCCTCTGTCTCCTCCTCCTCCTCCTCCTCCTCCTCCTGATCCTCCTTCTCCTCCTCCTCCTCCTCCTCATCCTCCATTCCTTTTCCTTCTGAATGCTTTCTCCCTGTCGCACCCCAAGGAAGGCTTTTAGGGCGGGCCGAGCGTTTCGCTTGAGAACTCCTCACCATTTATGACCCTGAAGCTTAAACAAATATAACAGCTTCACAGATGGAGGGCGGGTGGTCTTCAACATGTGGCTCTCGCCGTAACGCCGCGCACATTCGTTTATACAATTTGCAAGAGCTTCACGGATTGAGGGCGGGTGATTTTCACCATGTGACTCCCGCCGTAGCGCCGCGCACATTCGTTTGTAAAATGTGCAAGAGCTTATTGAGGGCGAGTGGTTTTCTCAAAATTTGGCTCCAGCCTTAGCGCAGTGCACACTCGTTCTAAAAAACAAAAGTTGCCCGGAATGATGGCGGTTCCTTTTCAAAATGTGGCTCCCACCTGAGCGCCGCGCACATTCGCTTGTAACATTCGCAAGAGCTTCACGGATTGAGGGCGGCGCCTTGTCCGTAGCGCCGCGCACACTCGTTCTAAAGCATTGCAAGAGTTTCACGGAGTCCTACGATCAGCGAAAATTGCCAGAAACTGTGTTTCGGAAAGATTCAGGATTATGAGGTGCAACAGTTACTTTGATTCGCGGTGTTGAGATTCCAGGAGTGGCGCTCTGGCACGATTCAGGATCGTCGCAAAAATCAGGTTGATCCGTGGCGTCGGAGTGCCGAGAACTATATTTTCGCGTGCTTCAGGGTCTTCAAGCGGTTGTCTTCCAACGAAGCAGCTTCCCCAGTGGAAACAAGCCGATGTAGGGCCTATGAAGAGAGAGCTTGGAGGGAGGGTTTATTCCAACATCGTTGATGACTCTTGGGTTTACACTGGTCCTCCTTCTCCTCCTCCTCCTCCTCCTCCTCTTCCTCCTCCTCCTCCTCCTCCTCCTCCTCCTCTTCATCCTCCTACTACTCCTACTTCCCCCGTGCTCCCTCTCCCCCATCCCCTCCTCCTCCTCTACTCCTTTCTCCTCCTCCTCCTCCTGCTCCTCCTGTGCTCTCCTCCTCCTCTTCCCCCACCTCCTCCTCCTCCTCCTCCTCCTCCTCCTCCTCCTCCTCCTCCTTCCTCCTCCTCCTCCTCCTCCTCCTCCTCCTCCTCCTCCCTCCTCCTGCCTCCTCCTCCTCCTCCTCCCTCCTCCTCCTCCTCCTCCCACCTCCTCCTCCTCCTCCTCCTCCTCCTCCTCCTCCTCCTCCTCCCCCTGGAAACTCCTGCTCGTCCCCCCTTCCTGCCCCTCTTCCCCTCCTCTACATCTCCCCCTTCCCCCCCTGCATCTTCTGCTCCGGCTCCCGCCCCCCACGTGGCCACCGGGGTCTGGCGCGCGGGCAGCCCCCCCAAAACTCCGATACGCAGTGATACTTTCGCAACGTCGAACCCCCAGAAAGCTGGACGACGCCGCGCGAGGGCGACGGCAACGACGACCAAACGGCAAAACAGTGAAGGCACCCGGCTTTCAACCGTCTGGGCCCCTTGCTGGGGGCCCGTTTCTCATCCTGGGCCGTTATGTGACCGGCCCCGGGCGGCCCAGTGGGGGCACCCGGCTCTGGAGGCCCAGAAAGGCCAGAAGCCTCCCGTAGTGGCTTTTGCCCACGAAGCCCATGAGAGGAGGAGGAGGAGGAGGAGGAGGAGGAGGAGGAGGAGGAGGAGGAGGAGGAGGTGGAGGGAGCAGGAGGAGGAGGAGGAGGAGGAGGAGGAGGAGGAGGAGGAGCAAGAGGAGGAGGGAGGACGATCTTTTCGCGACGCGAGGCGGGGGTCTGGGAGGCCCAGAAAGGTGCGAACGACAGGCCGTGCGGTGACTTCGAACTCCTCACCGCACCGTCCGTCACAGTATGGTCTTGGGACCTCGGAGGCCCCAGTCGCCCGAGACGTCCTCGGAGAACAAACCAAGCCCCAAAACCGTGCGGTGACCCCGAGCCCCCACTGACTCATCACATGTTGTGGTCAGCACACCGTTTCGCGGCCCCCGAGAGGCGGGGGTCCCCCCTCGTCTCCGCGCCCTGGGCGAGGGAGCCGACGGCCACGCCCCCCGAAGTCGCCATCGGCCCGCTGGGCGTCACGAGCAGGGTCTGCTTCTTGGACCTCCAAGGGCGGCCAAGACGGCGGGAGCCGGCTTTCTCCTCGTCCGTCCCTCCTCCCTCTTCCCTCCTCCCTTCTCCCTTCTCCTCTCTCGTCCTCCCCCCCCTCTTCCCTCCTCCTCCCCCTCCTCCTTCTGCCCTCCTCCCTCCTGTCTGCTCGCTGCTCGCTCCTCCTCCTTCCTCCATTCCTTGTCCTCATAGATAATTAACTCCTCCCTGTCGCACCCTGAGGCCGGTCGAACGGGCGGAACGGGCGGGCCGGGCGTTTCGAATGAGATTTCCTCACCATTCATGGCCCTGATATTTAAACATTGGCAGCTGTTTCACAAATGGAAGGCGGGGGGTTCACAATGTGGCTCTCGCCGCAGCGCCGCGCACATTCGTTCGCAAAATTTGCAAGAACTTTACGGCTTGAGGGCGTTCTTTTTCAAACTGTGGTGTTCGCCTAAGCGCCGCGCACACTCGCTGTTAAAAATTGCAAGAGTTTCTTCGATTGAGGGCGGGTCGTTTTCAAAATGTGGCTCTCGCTCTAGCGCAGCGCACATTCGTGCTCAAAAACTGCAAGACCTTCACGGATTGAGAGCGCTTCTTTTTCAAACTGTGGCTCTCGCCTAGTCGCCGCGCACATTCGTTCTAAACATTGGCAAGAGCTTCACGGATTGAGGGCGGGTTGTTTTCAAAATGTGGCTCTCGCCTTAGCGCCGCGCACATTCGTGGCACAAGAATTACAACGGATTCACGGATTGAGGGCGGGCCGTTTTCCAAATGTGGCTCTCGCCTTAGCACCGCGCGCATTCGTTTTAAACAATTGCAAGCGCTTCACGGATTGAGAGCGGTTCTTTTTCAAACTGTGGCTCTCGCATCGGCGCCGCGCACATTCGTTCAAAACATCTGCAAGAGTTTCACTGGTTCTCATGGCTAACGTACCAGAAATTGTGCTCTGGAGCATCTCAGGTTCTCAGGGCGCCACAGTTTCGTTGACTCGCGGTGTTGAAGTCCCAGGAACGGCGTTCTGGCATGATTCAGGATCGCCAAGACGTAACAGTCAGGTTAACTCGTGGCGTCGAAGTCCTGATAACAATGAACTGACACGCTTCAAGATGTTCACACAGTTGTCCCCCAGCGGGGCAATTCCCTCAGTGGGAATGACCCCTTGTAGGGGCCTGTGAAAAGGGATCTTCGAGGGAAGGTGTATTTCAACATCATTGATGAGTCTTGGGTTTGCACTGGTCCCCCTCCTCCTCCTCCTCCTCCTCCTTCCTCCTCCTCCTCCTCCTCCTCCTCCTCCTCCTCCTCCCCTCCTCCTCCCCTCCTTCCCTCCCTCCTCCCATCCTCCTCCCTCCCTCCTTCCTCCTCCCTCCTCCTCCTCCCTCCTCCCCCTCCCTCCTCCCTTCTCCTTCCTCCCTCCTCGCCTCTCCTCCCTCCTGCTCGTTCCTTCTGACCCCCTGCTCGTCACACTCCTCCTCCGAGCTCTCATCCTCCTCGGCCTTGCCCCTGGCGCCCTGGGTGATAGGAAGGGCGAGGAGTAGATGGGGGCCTCTGGGGTGCATCTGGGGGGGGGTCATTTGGGGGCATCTGGGGGCATCTGGGGGGGACCCTCGCCGCCCTGGCCGGGCTCGATTCGGACTGTCCTCGACGGAGCGTGCTCGCTGGTAGATGTCACGAGGCCGACCTTGAAGGTGGGGGAGGCCCAGACCAGTGACGGCGAGATCGCGAGATGCTGGCGGCGAGCAGGACTCCCCCCTCCCTGCCTCCCCCGCCCCTCCCATCCCCCCCCCTTCCTCCTTCCCTCCCCCCCCCCTCCCGCCCCTCGCCTCGCTCCCTCTCCTCTCGCACCGCCCCCGGCCTCCCCACTCCTCCCCGCTCCCTCCCCCCGCTCCCTCCGCTCCCCCCTCCCGTCCCACCGCTCCCACCCCTTCCCTCCTCCTCCCCTGCACGGCACGAGGACCGCCTCAATGCCCGATCCGACATGCCGAGCGACCTCCTCCCTCGCTCCCTCCGGAACCTCCCTCCCTCCCCCCGCCCTCCCGCCTCCCTCCTCCTCCTCCCTCCCTCCCTCCCCCCCCCCTCCCTCCCTCCCTTCCCCCCCCCCTCCCTCGGGGAGGAGGAGGCGGAGGAGGGGGAAGAGGAGGAGGAGGAGGAGGAGGAGGAGGAGGAGGAGGAGGCGGAAACCCTGAACCCAAAACCGTTACCATCTCTGGGGGGCGCTTCTCTAATTCCAACACCTCCCGCCGCTCCTCCGCCGGCGGAGGCCGCCTCGTTTTACTCCCGCCGACCTTCCGCCGCCTTCCGCCGTGGAAGAGATTGGAAAGATGCGGCGCAAGGATCGGGGAGACGTAAGACCCGGTTACGGGGGACTCGGAAATCCCCGACGAGGTCGTCAAAAAATGACGAGGCCGAGCCTGCATTTTGACGAGGCCTCCCGCTGCAGACATCCCACGAAACTCCTCCTCGTCAAAATCCGAGGCGCGGTCGTCAAAAAACGGTGGCGAACCCGAGTCCCGGCAAACCCGGGTCTTACGCTCCCCCGAAAGGAACATCCATCACTGGTTCACGACCCAGCCACTCTGGGAAAGGTCACCAAGAGGTACGGTAACTATCTGAATTGCTGCAGAGATTGTTATATGTTTGTTTTCTCCTTCTCCTCCCAAGGCCCCGGCAGAGCAACTTGTGTGGCTGTGAGAGTCCGTAAGCCGTGTGAGTGAGTTTCAATGAACATCGTCCCCCCGTCGAGACTCCAAGTGCCAGAGCCTCCAACGCCGACTAGGAGGAGGAGGAGGAGGAGGAGGAGGAGGAGGAGGAGGAGGAGGAGGAGGAGGACCCCTCCCCCTCCAACTCCTGGTGGTGGTGGTGGTGGTGGTGGTGGTGGAAAACAGGCCCATCAAAGGGCCACTCCGAGTCGTCAACGCCTGCCTCCCCCGTGCTGTCGGGCGCCTGGACGGCTGCACGCAAGAGCGACCCTAGGCAAGAGTGGCCCTTGGTGCGCGGCCTCACAGCGGGGGCCTTGTGGGACACCACCCGTCGGCGGCGAGCGAGGGGGGGGCGATCGAGAAGGAGAAGGCCCTCGTACAGCAGGCGGCGGGCCTTCTCAGAAGCCCTCGCGCCTTATCTGAGATATCTCCTGCGTCTTCCCCGAAGGCTCCGAGAACTTGCCGGGAGGCCGGGAGGACTTCCGAGCCTGCTGAGCAGGCCCGCCCTTTCTCACTTCCCCCCCTGGGCCCGCCGCCGAACGAGGCGCACAGGCCGCTACTATCACATAACATTCGTTGATTGGGGGGGCCCATTGGGCCCGTACCAAAGATCACTCTGGTAGAAGAAGGTCACTCTTCCATGTAGCCGAGCCTGGCTTGAGCAGGGACCGACCGTCCCGGCATTCCTAAAACTAGGCCTGTATGCCCACCACGACACGTTCTTATCAGAAAAGAGGGACTCATAATCTAAACAACATTCTAAGAACGCAACATCGCTGCATCAAAGGCAGCCAGAAGCGTTATACTAAAGTTTGGTGTAAGCCACCACAGGCGATTCAGCAAATCATCTGGTGGGCCTGTAGGCAGGTCAGGACGCTGTGCCACTGCCCAGCTGGCGACTCGAAGAGATCGCGCCCGGCGATGTTTGCACCGTCCTCGGCGCCCTCTACGGGACCTCGGAGTATACATCACCACCACCACCACCTCCCTCACCCCCCTCCCTCTCCCAGGACAGAGGGAAGGAAGAAGAGGGCAGATGAGGGAGGAGGAATCGCCTGGACCCCCCTCCCTCGCGCGCGGAGCGCGCCAGGGGCGGCGCCGGAGGCGCCGCCAGGGGGGCCCCCAGGGCGGATCCAGGAAACCCGCGCGGAGCGCCAAAAGTTTATGTTTGTGGCGTATTTTCTGCTTCGATATTTGGGGCAACCGAAAGGATCGTTTCTGACACACGAAACGCCATCAATTTCCGCTTCTCCGGCTCGGCCTCCGCCGGGTGTCAGAATTAGGTCGGGCATGTCCGCCTACAGGCGGATTTGGTAGGAAAACTGGAAAATACCCGAACAATACGCAAACAAAAACAAGAATAGTCAAACAAAAGAAGAAAATGCGTCCCCAGACTATTCCTTACTTATTCTTGAAGCCTCCTCCTCCTCCTCCTCCTCCTCCTCCTCCTCCTCCTCCTCCTCCTCTCCTCCTCCTCCTCCTCCTCCTCCCCCTCCTCCTCCGCCCCCTCCCCCCCTCCCCTCCCCCTCCCCCTCCTCCCCTTCCCTCCTCCCCCTCCCCACCTCCTCCTCCTCCTCCACCTCCTCCCCTCCTCCTCCTCCCCTCCTCCTCCTCCTCCTCCTCCCCCTCCTCCTCCCTCTCCCCCTCCTCCTCCCCCTCCCCCTCCCCCTCCCTCCTTCTGCCGAGGGGCACGCCCGACATATAATGTCAGGGGAGAGCGGGCTCTGCACACGGGGCGCTGCCGGCGCGCGTGCTGGCGGCGGGAGCCGGCGCCGCGGCCCGTCCCTGGGCAGGAGCTCGCCACGGACAAGCCTCCCGGATGCATGGTGAGCGATTTTTTTTTATTCGGCGCTTCGACACCCCAGAGATCCAACGTCTTGAACACATCAAGACGGAGGTTTTTCGCCGATTTCGACCTCTACAGTCCCTCGCCGGGCCCCAGGACCGCCAAAAAACGACTCAGGATGAAAAGCCGGTCCTGGGGAATGGGTCGAGACTTCCAAGAACCGCGCATTGAAAAAATCACGACATCGGATCTCTGGGACTGGGCGGAAAGGGGGGGTGACCGCAGATGGACAAAAAAGTGGAACCCGCAGATGGACGCGCAGATGGACGCGCAGGAGGGAGGAGGGAGGAGGGAGGAGGGAGGAGGGAGGAGGGAGGAGGGAGGAGGGAGGAGGAGGAGGAGGAGGAGGAGGAGGAGGAGGAGGAGGAGGAGGAGGAGCGAGCGTGGACCGCAGATGGGCAAAAAAGTGGAACCCTTGACTCTGCCCCCTCCCGTCCCCCAACAGTCAAAGCTGTTCCCAGACATTCAAGAGCGCAGGCTTGAAAGGACCCCAAAAATGGACCCCCGGGGCCTCCACCACGCCGGAGCCGAACATGGTATCGAACATGGTATGGACGACGAGGGGGCTCCACTTGTTGTCCCCTTACTGCTGGAGGGGGGGGGTCTGGCTCCAGATCTCTGCTTGGTGCGACTGTTTGCAAGAGTGCTGCCTCTGGGGGGGACTCCACCCGCTCGAAACAGGCGCCAAAAAGTAGCCCTACTCCATGGGGGAGGGGGGGGGGGGGAGGGTTGGGGGGCCCGCGCCGACCAGCAAAACAATACATAAAAAACAATCCCAAGAAGCCTTCCACAAGAAACCCAACCCTGAGACCCAGGACGTTCATTGATTGTTGGCGTGGGGACGTCACGCGCCCCACAACAAAACCAGCGAAACCCCAAAAAACAAGGGCACCCTGGAGGTAGGCAGGCTGTTTCTTGGCATGAGCCTCCGGCCTCCAGAGTACCCCTTCTCCTCCTATGCCCCCTTCTTTGAGGCCCCCTCCCCTGAAAGGGGGTGAGGCTCCCAGGCCCCGACGTCGTGGTCTGCGTATGCATGGGCCCCCGGAGGTCGGGGTCCGCGTCCGAAACTGTCAGAAGCCATGCGACGAGACGTTCGGACAAAAAGAAGGTGTCTGGGTGCGGAGGTCAGAACACGTCCTCCAGACCTGTTCCAGGGTGCGCCCTGACCAACAACTCGAAGGGAATCTGGCCAGGGCCACGAGAGGCTTCCAGGAGGCCAGGAAAACAGCCACGTCTGTATACAACGCACACACAACAAAAAAGGCACCCGATCCTCTGTGTTTGCTGGCCGCCGCAGGCCTCGGCGTGACCTCCTGCGCGTTGAGCACGAAGCCCGGCGTGCAGGGAAACTTGACGGGCGAGACGACTCCGGGCATCGCGGGCGCTGTCGCGTCGCGTCGCGCGTCCCGCGGCGAGCCTCTCGTCGGCTCCACGCAAGAGTGACCCCAGGCGAGAGGGACCTCCAGCGCGCGGATCCAAGGGGCGCACGGTGGCCAAACCCAAGCGCGCGAGCAGCCATGTTCGCAGCGCGCTCGGGGATCGAAGGGGGGCCCCGACGAGCCCGCGCCGGAGGTCACGCCGGCGAAGGGCCACTCTTGTGTGCAGTCGAGCCTCTTGGTCAAGGGCAGCCCCCTCCCCTGGGCCCGGTCCTGAGCCTCCTGGAGATCCAGGCGCGCGCGCGCGCAGCATGCGCGGGCAGCGCGTCGCCTTCGACGCCGCGGCCCCGCGCGAGCAAAACGGCGCAGCGGAGCCGGGCAGCCGGGAGAAGCGCAGCGCGCCAGGCAGCTACACACACACACACTTCTTCCCCGTCGGCGGCGAGGCAGAGGCAGCCCGCTCCAGCGCGAGGCCAATCGGGGCAGCCGGCAGGCAACATTGTCCGGCGCGCAAATGGAGAAAAGAAACAACAACAACAAAAAACGGGGGCGGCCGCCGGCACACACACACACACACACACACGACCGCACTCGCACACACGCAGGCGCTCGCACCTCCGCTGGCGAAGGAGCACCACTGCCGCGAGAGGTTGCGGGGGGCACGCACGGGCGAATGGCACGCGGACGTGCAGAAGAAAGGCAAGGGGTGAGCCCGGCCCGCCTGCTGCAGAGGACTGCGATGAGCTCGTGGGCGGAAGACGCGAACTCTCGGTGGAGCGCGTGCGTGCTGCGGCAAACACACCAGCACACACAGAAACGCATACACATACATACATACATACATACATACATACATACATACATACATACATACAGACAGACAGACAGACATACATACATACATACATACATGCATGTATACAAACAGACTTACACACACATTCATTCATACATACACACATACATACCAGCATGCATACATGCATACTTGCATACATACACACATGCACACAAACATCGTGTGTATATATATATATATATATATATATATATATATATATAGATGTGTGTATATGTATATGCATATATATATATATATAGTCCTATATATTACATGTTATAGGGCCGGGGACCCCGGACAGACCCCGGACGGAGCCCCCCCCCCCCCAAAACGAGTTTCGGCGGGTTTCCCCGAGATTTTCGGGCGGTCCCAGAGGCGCCCCAGACGGCCCGAGATACTCCCAAGAGGGGTCCACGAGCGCTCCAAGACAACCCAAGAGCGCTCCAAGAGACCCCAAGACCGCCCAAGACCGTCCAAGGGGGCCCCGAGACGCCCCAAGAGGCCTCCACGAGGCTTCCCAAGACGGCCCCAAGAGGGACATGTCATTGATTTTTGTATGGTTTTCAAAAGTTTTCCTGGTTCTCCTTGTTTCGGGCCAACATCAGCCCGAACCGGCCCAAGAGGCTCCAAAGATCGCCCCAAGATAGCCCAAGAGGCCCCCCAAAGAGCCCGAAAACGATCCAAGAGAGTCCCAAGACAGCCCAAGAGGGCTCCAAGACGGGCCCAAGAGAGCCCCAAGAGCGCCCAAAGAGGCACCCAAGAGGGCCCCAAGACGCCGCCAGGAGAGCCCCACGACGGCCAAAGGCCTCCAAGACGCCCCAAAACAGCCCAAAAGGGCCCCGAGACGACCCCAGAGAACCCCAGCAGGGCGCTAGAAGGGATCCAAAAGGACCCCAAGAAGACCCCCGAGGGGCCCCAAAACGCTACATAACACCAGGGCTCCCAACACAGAGCTTCAATGGCACTCCCAGAAGCCTTCCATTATTTCTTTTCCTCCATCCTTCTTTTCTCCGTTTCCCTCCTTCTCTTTCCCGTTATCCTCCTGTTCCTCCTCCTTCTCTGTATACTCTCTGCTCCTCCTCCTCACAGTCCACGGCCCAGGAGGCCTCGTGGACCTCTTGAAAGTGCTATTGGAGGCCTCTTGGAAGCGTCTTGGGCCATCTTGGACGCCTCCTGGGCCGCCTGGAGGGCATCTTGGGCGTCGTGGAGCGGTCTTCGGGCGTCTGGGGCCCGTCTTGGACCGCGTTGGGGGCCTCTTTGCGCCCCCATGGGGCGATCCGGAAGCCCCTAAGGGGGTCTCTCGGGCAGCTCTCGGGCAGCTTTCGGGCCGCGCCCGGGGTACTTTTGGTCCGGGACCCCCCAAGGGCTGCCCCGCGCGCGCGAATTAGAAATATTGTAAAGCAGCCGCTGGAGATCTCAGCGCGCCTCTAGCCCGTTGGGCCGGCAACTTATTCGCACGATGCCATGGTTGAATGTTCAATCTAAAAAGCGGGTTTGCTTTCTGGACATGCCGATCGCCCTGTATACTCACCTTCTCTCCCTCTCTCTTGCATGAGGTGTTGACTGAGCCCTCAAAAAGACACATGCGTTTGCGTTTGTCACATGCCGAGATTCACGCATACGGATTCCGTTATCACAATCCGATCGTTTGCGCTCTCCACTACATTCCTTGATTTGCACTCAGAGACACAACCAACAATATCATATATCCAACTGCCAGCGGCAAGTCCCGCCGCCGTGCCAGCCCCGCATTATCGGCGGTTGCTGTTCGAACCGATGATGGGGAGGAGGAGGATAATGGTGTTTATGCTGACGATGGCGACGGTAGGATGATGACGATGGTTTCGATGACGATGGCGAGGATCGGACGAGGATGGATAGTGTGGCGAACGAGAGCCATTTGCATGATCATGGTGATTATAACCATGTTCATTCTGGCGATGGTGGTGGTAATGATGACGATGCTGATATGACGACGACGACGACGATGCTGTTCATGAGGTTAATGTGTACGGGATGTGGGTGATTATGATGAGGATGGTGCTGATGATGAGGACGACGATGTTGATGAAGAGGGTGTTGCTAATGATGATCGTGGTGACGATGATGACGATGATGGTGGTGGTGGTGATGATGATGCTGATGCTGGCGCTGATGATGATGAGGCTGATGAAGGCGGGGGAGGATGAGGATGATGATGATGAGGAGAAAGAGGACGAGGATGATGAGGACGAAAACGAGGAAGAGGCCGCGAACGGCGGCGACGATGATGATGGGGAGGAGGAAACGGAGGAGCCCTCATAGACCTCATTTTGGCCGTCTTGGGCTTTCCCGTGCTCCTGTGGGGCAGTCTTGCGGGCCCCTTGGGGGCCTATTGGGTCTTCTTCGGGCTCTCCGGCGGCCGTCTCGGGGTTCTCTTGGGGCCCTCGTGGCCGTCTGGGGGGGTCGGTTGGGGCCGTCGCGGGGTGGTCTTGGGCCGCCCAGCGGTCCTTTTTAACCCATGTGGGGTCGACCCGCGACAATCCATGATTTCTGCTTCCTGGGGCCTTCTTCGGACGCTTCTTGGACGCGTCTCGGAAGCGTCTGCGGCTGTTTGGCGGCCATCTTGGGCGTTTGGGACCGATCGGACGGCGACCGGACCGATGGATCGGCGACTCAGAGCCCTCTTGGACCGTCCTGGAGGCCCGCGGGGCCATTTAGGAGCGCCTTAAGGCGCTGGAGAACCGCGCCGAGGAGGAAACCCATCTCTGAGTTGGGTGTCCCAAGACCGCATCGGGGTACTTCTCGGCCCGGGACCCCCAAGGGCCGCTCCGCGCGCGCGAACTAGAATATTGTTTACCAGGTACTGGGGACCTTCGCACGCCTCTGGCCCGTTGGACCCGCGAATTCCGACTTCGCCTTCCGAGGCTCGTTTGGGGCCTCAGTGGCGTCGACCCTGCAACGCGATTGCGGCGGCGCTCGCGATGGCAGCGGTCTCCCCCTCTCAATTTCCCTTTCGTATGTCGTCGCCTTCGTCGTCGTCGTCGTCGTCGTTGTCGGTCGCTTTCGTCGTCGTCGTCGTCGTCGTCGTCGTCGTCGTCGTCGTCGTCGTCGTCGTCAGCGCCGCAGCCGACGTCGTAGTCATCGTCGTTTTCATCGTCATCATCGTCATCGGCCCGCCGGTTCGGCCGGCCCGCCGGTTCAGCTCGGCTCGGCTCGGGTTGGCGGCGACGAAGCGGGAAATGAAGGATGAGGAAAGGAAAGGAAAGGAAAGGAAAGGGAATGGAAGACATTGTCAGATCGACAACCACGAAAACGGCAACAAGGCGTTATCGCTTTCTTGGACTATGTACATATCTGTCATCCCGCCTGCTTGCTCAACTTGAAGGACCATGGTGGTCTGGCCACTTTCGCCTGAGACCTCGCACCTTTGAGTTGCGAGATGCCCGGGGCAGCTGGTCAGGCCACCGCCGCCTGAGATGCGCATGTGTATGCGCACACATCGTTACACATACCATGTGCATATACATATACATTCCCATACATACGTATACTTCTATGTACATATGTAGTATGTTTCCATGGGCGCATGTGTGCGCGCATGTACGCTCGCAAGCACTCCGTTAACGTGGTGCATGACGCGCAGCGCCAATGCAGTCTTGTGTGTATATATATACATATATACATACACATATTCCCTTATATATATATATATATATATATATATATATATAATCCTGGGGGGTGGGACCCCCCCCCGAAATAGGATCCTCCCCAACCGGGACTTCCGGAAACGGGACCCTCACGAGGATCGCAGCCTCCGAGCGCGAAAATTAGCGCTCTCCGTCCAAAGAGGAAGGTCAGAGGACACGCGAGGCTCCTTGGACCTCCCGAGAGGCTTTCTCGAGGCTCCTACGAAGGCCCGAGAGGGCCCCAAGAGCCTTCCAGAGTCCTCCGAAGAAGCCCCCGAGAGATGAAAATCAGTGACTTCCTATGGTTTTTTCTAAGATTTTTGCTTCTTTGCATGTTCACTGTTCCGACGTGCCAAGACGGCCGAAGACGCCCACAAAACCGATGCCAGACGGCTCAAGAGGCCTCCAAGCGAGTCCGAAACCGGCCCAAGACAGCCCCGACACGGCCCAAGGGGTGCCCAAGACGGCCCCAGAGAACCCCAAGACGGCCTTCAGAAACGGCACCCCTCACGAGGATCGTAGCCTTCCAGCGCGAAACTGAGCGATCTTCGTCCGAAGAGGCACCTACGAGGGTACGCGAGGGTCCTCGGGTTGCCTTAAAAGCTTCTTAAAGGTTCCCCCGACAGCTTGAGAAGGCCCCACGAACCTCGCAAAGTTCTCTGAAAAAGGCCCCAAGATATCCAAATCATTAATTTCCTATGGCTTTCCTCCTCTTACGGACACGGAAGGAAAGCGAGGTCCAAACCACCTCGAGGACAACTGCGCCCTGCGGAAGACAGCCAGCGGCGGCACCCGAGTGCACCATCCTCTCCCTCCTGCCCCTCCTCTTCTTCT